ATCAAATATAAGATAGTTGTAGTTTTGTGGATCGGTTTCTGTGTCCTCTATTCTGTACCATTGGTCCACCCGCCTGTTTTGGTACCAGTACCATGCTGTTTTTGTTACTATTGCTCTGTAGTATAGTTTGAAGTCTGGTATCGCTATACCGCCTGATTCACACTTCTTGCTTAGCATTGTTTTTGGTATTCTGGGTCTTTTATTTTTCCATATGAATTTCATGATTGCTTTCTCTATTTCTACAAGAAATGTCTTTGGGATTTTGATTGGCATTGCATTAAACCTATAGAGAACTTTTGGTAATATCGCCATTTTGATGATGTTAGTTCTGCCTATCCATGAACAGGCTATATTTTTCCATCTTCTAAGATCTTCTTCTATTTCTCTCTTTAGGGTTCTGTAGTTTTCATTGTATAAGTCTTTCACCTCTTTTGTTAGGTTGATTCCCAAGTATTTTATTTTTTTTGAAGATATTTTGAATGGAGTGGTTGTCCTCATTTCCATTTCAGAGGATTTGTCGCTGATATACAGGAATGCCTTTGATTTATGCGTGTTGATTTTATATCCTGCCACTTTGCTGAATTCATTTATTAGCTCTAATAGTTTCTTTGTAGACCCTTTTGGGTCTGCTAGGTATAGAATCATATCATCTGCAAATAGTGATAATTTAAGTTCTTCTTTTCCTATTTTTATGCCTTTAATTTCTTTCGTCTGTCTAATTGCTCTGGCCAGTGTTTCGAGAACTATGTTGAAGAGAAGTGGAGAGAGAGGGCATCCCTGTCTTGTTCCAGACTTTAGAGGGAATGCCTTCAGTTTTTCTCCATTCAGAATGATGCTAGCCTGAGGCTTAGCATAGATTGCTTTTACAATATTGAGGTATGTTCCTGTTATCCCTAGTTTTTCTAGAGTTTTGAACATAAAGGGATGCTGTACTTTGTTGAATGCTTTTTCCGCATCTATCGAGATGATCATATGGTTCTTATTTTTAAGTCTATTGATGTGGTGAATAACATTTATTGATTTCCGTATATTGAACCAGCCTTGCATCCCAGGGATGAATCCTACTTGATCATGGTGTACAATTTTTTTGATATGTTTTTGTATCCGATTCGCCAGAATTTTATTGAGGATTTTTGCACCTAGGTTCATTAGAGATATTGGTCTGTAGTTTTCTTTCTTTGAAGTGTCTTTGTCTGGTTTAGGTATCAGGGTGATGTTGGCCTCATAGAATGAATTTGGAAGTTCTCCCTCCTTTTCTATTTCCTGAAGTACCTTGAAAAGTATTGGTATTAGTTCTTCTTTAAAGGCTTTGTAAAATTCTGCTGTATACCCATCCGGACCTGGGTTTTTCTTAGTTGGTAGTCTTTTTATGGTTTCTTCTATTTCCTCAATTGATATTGGTCTGTTTAGGTTTTCTATATCCTCCTGACTCAATCTGGGCAGATCATATGACTTAAGAAATTTATCTATGCCTTCACTATCTTCTAATTTATTGGAGTATAAGGATTCAAAATAGTTTTTGATTATCTTCTGTATTTCTGAAGTGTCTGTTGTGATATTGCCTTTTTCATCCCGTATGCTAGTAATTTGAGTTCTCTCTCTTCTTCTCTTCGCTAGCATGGCTAAGGGTCTGTCGATTTTGTTTATTTTTTCAAAGAACCAACTTTTAGTTTTGTCAATTTTTTCAATTGTTTCTTTTGTTTCGATTTCATTAATTTCAGCTCTGATTTTAATTATTTCTTGCCTTCTACTTCTTTTGCCGTTGTTTTGCTCTTCTTTTTCAAGGATTTTGAGATGAAGTATGAGATCATTTATTTGTTTTTTTTTTTTTCTTTTTTTAAGGAATGAACTCCAAGCAATGAATTTTCCTCTTAGAACTGCTTTCAATGTGTCCCATAGATTCCGATATGTTGTGTCTGTGTTTTCATTTATCTCTAAGAATTTTTTAATTTCCTTCTTGATGTCTTCTATAACCCATTGATCATTCAGTAACCTATTGTTCATTCTCCAAGTGATGTATGCTTTTTCCTTCCTTCTTTTATCGTTGATTTTCAGTTTCATTCCATTATGATCAGATAAGATGCATGGTATTATCTCTACTCCTTTCTATTGTCTAAGAGTTTCCCTGTGACATAATATATGATCTATTTTTGAGAAGGATCCATGTGCTGCTGAGAAAAAAGTGTAACTGCTTAATGTTGGGTGGTATACTCTATATATGTCAATTAGGTCTAGGTTATTAATAGTGTTATTGAGTTCTATAGTTTCCTTATTCAACTTTTGTTTGGAAGATCTGTCCAGTGGCGAGAGAGGTGTGTTGAAGTCTCCCATGATTATGGTGTGGTGGTCTATTAGACTCTTGAACTTGAGAAGAGTTTGTTTAACGAACATAGCTGGACCATTGTTTGGGGCATAAATATTTATGATTGTTATGTCTTGTTGGTGTATGGTTCCCTTAAGCAGTATGTAGTGTCCCTCTTTATCTCTTTTGATTAACTTTGGCTTGAAATCTATTTTATTTGATATGAGTATGGACACTCCTGCTTGTTTCCAAAGTCCATATGAGTGATATGATTTTTCCCAATGTAGGTAAAATTTCTGAGTTAGCAGATATCCCTGTATTCTTCATATTTATTTGATGAGTTGGCTGCAAATGGAATTCACTTTAAATTACTTTTTCTCTGGATTTGAAACGTACTCTTCCAGTGATACCAGTCTTATTCCTGGACCCCTAAATCATCCATTTTAATGAGGATCCATTTTTCTTCCAGAAGCATTTAATATCCTCTTTTTATTCTTGAAGTTTTGAAATGTAAGAATGATATATCAGGGGCTGGGGTTGTGGCTCAGCAGTAGAGTGCTCGCCTAGCACATGTGAGGCCCTAGGTTCGATCCTCAGCACCACATATAAATAAATAAATAAATAAATAAAATAAAGGTATTGTGTCAACTACAACTAAAAAATATTTAAAAAAAAAAGAATGATATATCATAAATGTGGTTGCTTTTTGTTCATTACATAGTTAAAGTTTTTGCAGTATTCCACAGGACCCTCTACGCCCTCTCTTCACTCTGATCTTATCTCACACCACTTCCTAGCTCATCCTGCCCCAGCCACAGATGGCTTCCTCTTTTCATAACCATATTTATTCCTTATTTCTCTGGTGTACAGTGGTCTTCCCTTTTGATATCTGCTTGATCCACTTCCTTACCTCCCAGGTCTTTGTTCAAATGTCACATTCTGAAGGGACATCCTATCTGACCGTCCTCTTTAAAATTGCAATCCCCTCACTATCCAGGCACCCCTAATCCTTTTATCCTGTTTTAATTGTTTACATAATGCCTATTGCTCAGTTGCATACTAAATAAAATATAAGATACATATATTTTTGTGTTTGTATATTTATGTATGTATAAACTTTGTATAAAGTTTGCTTTTATTGCCTTAACGAAGTACTACATTGAGTGACTTAAACAATCACAGTTCTGTAGGCTAGAAGTTTACATAAAGATGTTAGCAGAATTAGTTTCTTTTGAGTTCTTTCTCCATAGCTTCTAGATAGCTTCTTTTCCCTGTGTTTCTACATTTTTCCTCTTGTAACTCTGTGTCCAAATTTCCATTTTCTTGTAAGAACACCAGACATATTTGAGTAGAGCCCACCTTAATAACTTGACTTTAACTTAATTAACTCTGTACAGAACCTGTCTCCAAATACAGTCAAATTCTCAGGTAGAGGGTGTTCGGAATTCAGCCGCCTGACATTGTTATATTGTCTCCCTGACATAATCACCAGAATATAATTTTCATGAAGGTAAGGCTATTTTTGTTGTTGTTGAAGTTGTTCTATTTTATTCATTCATCCACACATATTTGACATCCTAGAGCAATAACAGCATATAATTGATGCTCAATAAATAATAATGAATGTCCCAGCCTCTTGATAAGTTCTTTCAATCTGAAGAGTTATTTCCTCCTTTTTATCTCTGAGAAATTCTCTTATAATTTCATGAACTTTACACCCCTACCCCATATTTCTTATATTGTCTTTCTGGTTCTGTCAGTTTGAATTTATGACCCACTTGATTGATCCTCTCTATTTTCAGTCTGTTTTTGTTCTAATGGAGCATTTCAACCTTGACTTCCCAACACTTCCACAGAATATTCTATATTTTAGCAAACATGCATTTAATTTCCAAGGTCTGTCGTCTTGGTCTTTTCTCGTGGCATTCTGTTTTTATTTAATAGGTGCTATACATTTATTGATCTTTCTGTATATATTAGGTCTTATTTCTCTTTTGTCCCTGAATTTTCTGCTTCTTCCTAGGTAACATTTTGTGGTTGTTGTTCTTGTGCTTGCATTCTTTTACTCATTGGTAAGCATTTCTCATCCTTAATTATCTGGAAACCCTTGGTTATACATTTTTATTTGTAAGGAAACACTGAAAGTATTAGAGGCTTATTTTAATGATGGGACCTTTTTCCTGCTGATAGGCTTTATGGTGAGTTGGCTATTACTCTAGAGGCTCCTTCAAAGTAGAATAAATTCATAGTTCTTTGGTTTGGGAGTCAGTACCCCCCAGTGGCTGCCTTAGGTTTTTCCAAATAGTTTATTTCATTTTATGAGATAAAAACTCTCCAACTTTTTGCGTGATTGCCCATCTTCGAATAAGTGGAGTTTGGAATCAATGATTTTTTTATGTACACTTTCAATTAATATCTGTTTTTACTTCCATCTACTCAAAGATAAATCAGTTTTTCCATGCTTTACCCCTTTCTTCCTACCCCTAAAAGAACAAAACCACCAACTAGTCAGATATACTCCTTTGTCCTTTCCATTTTGATTGATCTGATTGCCATTTCAAAGAAGCAGATATATTGCCAGAAAACATCTCAAGTTATTACATTCTGAGTCAGAGTATGGTTAGTTCCAAGTATATAATCTTCCCCTAGTTTCCTTTCAATATACCTAACTTATTTTCTCATTTTTCTCTGCATGTAGGTCTGCAATTAAAGCCTTACGTCCTGGAGGGGTACTTGTGTACTCGACATGCACACTTTCCAAGGCAGAAAATCAAGATGTGATCAATGAAACTTTAAATTCCTACAGTAATGTCATGCCTGTGGACATTAGGGAAATAGCAAGGACTTGCTCCCAAGACTTCACATTTGCTCCCACTGGCCAGGAATGTGGACTTTTGGTGATCCCAGATAAAGGCAAAGCCTGGGGCCCAATGTATGTAGCCAAATTGAAAAAATCATAGAGTACAGGAAAACGGTGACATGAATTTTGTAAACAATTTTGATGTATACTTATGTTTATGTTTCCACGCTCTCCACATGCTAATATTTAAATGATGATATAACAATTTTCCTTTAGTCTGTTTGGAATCCTATTTATTTAATATTTTAGCATTTAGAATCTAGCCTTGAGAATTTTTCAGGTGTATTTTCTTTTCCTAGAAATATATCTGTAGGAACAATTTAAGGTGATGAAGATGGTGTTTATTCTCTATAATAAATCTGCTGTCTTCTACTTGGCATTTTATATTTAAATTAGAATACATGGTTTTATGAATAAAATGTTTAGAACTACATTCTACCCATGATGTTGGTGCTTTGGACCTTTAAAAATGCATATTTGCCAGCACTCTTACTGTTTCCTCCTTATGAAATGTACAGATTCTTTTTTTCTAAGAACTGATTGGTATTCTGAGACTAACTTCTTAAGCAGTACAATTTTGAGTTCTGAAAAAATAGGTTTCTTATTTGCAAAATTGTTTTCTGTTAAGGACTATCTTCTGTTTACTACAAAGGTCAGTGACTCAATTGACACCAGCTTTAGCCCTCCCTCCTTTTTTTTCTTTCGTTTTTTTTTTTTTTTTTGTATTCACAAATACAAATTGAAAGGGTAAATTATGTTGAAAGGCCTTTAGGACAGCAGATTCACATGCACACGTTTGACTTTCGACATTCAGCTTCTAGAATAATGGAGTCTATCCAGCAGGCTATAAGCAAGTACTTGAAACAAAACCAGGATGATTAATAACTGCAATAACTGAACTATATTTGGAGAGTTTTGTTACATAATTGCAGTCATAATGAGCACTACAGAATCTGATTATCTTACAGTTCCAATCTGGAGGGGCTTTTTATTTCACTCTGTTATAAAATGTTATAGGAGAAAATGATGTCACTTATTAATGCATGAGAGGGAGATGCCTAATGAGAGTGGATTGTACTATTACCAAAACCCAATACCATTTACTAAGTGGCTCTCTCTGTTTACATATATCCTGGGAATATTGTGTATGTTTCTTTTTGTGTACTTAAGGTTTTAACTTCAATTTTTGCATCATGTGTTTTCTCCAAAAATTACTTCAATGAGTCCAAACATATTTTACCAATTATTAAGAAAAATTATGAAGCATACTTCTTTTTTTTTTAAGAGAGAGAGAGAGAGAATTTTTTTTTTTAATATTTATTTTTTAGTTTTCAATGGACACAACATCTTTGTTTGTATGTGGTGCTGAGGATCGAACCCGGGCCGCACACATGCCAGGTGAGCGCGCTACCGCTTGAGCCACATCCCCAGCCCAATGAAGCATACTTCTAAAGATATCTGTTTGGAAATTAGGGTTTTTAAATAAAAAAGAAAAAACTTTGTGGTTGTAGAAATATGAAATTCTGCTGAAGCGGAGTACTCTTATATTGTTCATTGTATTCTGAATATTTAAACTAGAGACTATCTGCTCACTACCTACTTTTTATTTTGTAAGCATATGTAGGCAGATTTAAAGAACTGGGAATTCCTATGAGGACTTTTTCTGTATCTTCATTTTATTAACACCTTTTAAAAAATCTAACCAATGTGTTTATAAAATAAAACTAGGTCTCTGAGACCCAATCAAGTACATTGAATCAGTACCAAAGACTAATGATAATGGAAAAGTTTTTGTGCTTCTTTTGTTTTGTATTATTTGTGCCTCTTTTTTTTCTTCTTCTTTTTTCTATTTTAAATCCTGTCTTAAGATCCTATAGATTTAGGCTCTGGGGTTGTAGCTCAGCAGTAGAGCACTCGCCTAGCATATGTTAGGCCTTGGGTTCGATCCTCAGCACCACAGAAAAATAAATGAATTAAGTAAAGGTATTGTGTCCAACTACACCTAAAAAATTTTAAATACAAAAAAAAAAGATCCTATGGGTTTAAAAAGTGCATTTCTTTTGTATAGTTTAATTACAAAGTAAATTTTCACAGTACACTTTGTTGAGTATCATTATTTTCCTAGTATAATGCCATGAAAGTTAATTTGAATAGTTGTTGTGACATTGGATTAGACTCTTCCATGATTACTTTAAAATGCATCTGTATATTTATACACTACATAAATATATATTGCTTTATTTATAATAATTATAATGAAGCAGCATTTATTGAGCATTGGTTGATTAAATTCTTTATATATATTGTCTTTTTTGGTCTTTAAAACGCCGATAGTGAGTATTTTATCCTCATTTTTGTAAATGAGAAAACTAAAACTCAGTGCTGTTTGTATTTTGCTAAAGTTATGCTGGTAAGAAAAGAGTAGAGCCAAGGCTGGGTGTGGTGGAAGTTTGGGAGGCTGAGGCAGGAGGAACACGAGTTCAAAACCAGACTCATGAATTCAGCGAGACCCTGTCTCTAAATAAAATATAAAAAATGGCTGAGGATGTGTCTCAATGGTTAAGTGTCCCTGGGTTCAATATCTGTACAAAAAAATAAAAAGAATAAAGCCATATTAAAACTGTGTCTGTTGCCCAGCCCCTCCTCCCAGCACTGTGCTGTCTCCCAGAATATGGAATATAGCAAATCTCAGTGTTATCACTTGGCTTTACAAGGATTCCCCATTGTTCAGTTTTCTATTTTTATGCAATTACCCATTCCCAGGGCATTATAGGACTTATCAATACTTGGGGGAAAAACCTACCATTGAAATATCTCAGGGTATGTTCTTAAGAAGAGTATCTTGTGATTGTAATACCCAGAAATTTCCCATGGGGATATTTTATGCCCTCCTTTTCTTTGCAGATACCAAATTGAAGAATGGAAATTTGGAGCAACCTTTCAATGTCAGTTGAAAAGCCAGGAGTAACTGATATACCTTCTGTGGCTTTAAGTTACTTTCAAAATAGTTTTAAAAATTTAGGTTATTTACCAACATGTTAAGTTCTTTCTTCCATTAGTGCACTAAACAGCCACTAGTTTCAGAAATAGATATGAATAAATATAATGCATTCACATGTTTTGTACTGAATTTTTGAAGGATCAGATGTTATCTGTGGATTGGAATCTAAATGGCCTATAGTTCTTTATCCTATTATCTGTATCCATGTAGGTTTATATTTAAGGTTACATATTAAACTTCCTTAATATTGTGAAAAATATCTTTCATACAGTGTAAGTAGATAGAAAATAATAGCTACCAGAATACTTCCTCCATAACTGAATAATCACAAATCTGATGGATCCTTATAGAAAATCTGCATAGACTAACATAACACATCTGGAATAAAAAGAAAATTAGAACCAATAGCAACAATTTTGATTGATGCCAAGAAGTCCTTTGATGCAATTGAATGGTACTATTTGCATTACATGTTTAGGTAAATTTGACTTTGGGGACAAATAGAGCAAATAGCACAATTTATTTTCAATCCATTTATATGGTTCAGATCAATAGTTTACAATCTCCCTTTGTCTGCCTTATTGCTGCACTGCATGGGGGAAGTAAGCATGAAGCCCATTACTATTGGAGCTATAATCTCACCCAGATCCCATGGGCATCTGAGGAATATTCAGATGAAGGTTCACAAGTTAACTAATGTATGATGATAATTTACTACTTGTGCTGAAAGCTCTAGTAGCATCTGTCCTGAAAACATTAAAAGTAATGTCAGAATTTGGAATGGCTTTAGGCTGCAAAGTCAGTAGGAGAAAATCAGAAATACTATATTAACAAAAGAGTTTCTATTAATATTACTTATTATGTGACATAATAAATTTTAAACTTAAAGAGAATTGATTTGGGATTCTCATTGGGGAATTATTAAGCAAGAGAGTAAACAAAACATTTAAAAGTTGACCTGTAATTCAGTGCCAAGGCTTTTAAAAAATAAGTTTTACTAAATTTGAGGAGGAAAAAAGCTTGATAGATAATAAAACTGTTTTGAAATTTAATTTTCTAACTCATATTAACTCCATACCTCTCTTTTTACAAATGAAGATAATAATTTTTCTAGTCATGTTGAAGCCAGATTTAAAATTAGGTAGTCAGTGTAGTTAGGTAAATCGGGTCTAATATCATATCAAGTGAAATCTAAAATGGAGGCCATGCTGATAATGATTCCGGAAATGCAGGACAACTCATGGAATGTTAATGAATTCCCAGAAAGGTCCTAGGCCAAAGTCCACCCCAAAGAAATGTTAATGGAACCCAGGAAACAGCCCCCAACAGATTTCGAGATAGCCCATCCCAAAGAAGTGATAATGAAGTCCTTCCTGCCCAGATTACTTGTTTGGCCCACCTGTGTCCCACCCCTTGGGCCTTCCAACCTACATTCCATCACCAAAACTATAAAAAGGGGAGACAACCGCACTTCCACGGGTCCCCTTCTTCCTCCAGGAGAAGTCTTTTCTGCTGTCCTTTAATAAACTTATAATTTCTACTCTGACCTTGCCTCGGCGTGCTTTTCTGGTGTTATTCTTCAACATTGGGGAAGCAAGGACTCGTCACCGGCCAACAGCGGTAACAATGTGAGGCCATATAGTCTGGGTGAAACCCTGCAAAAGCATGTGCCACCTTAGGGAAAGAACTGTTTGCTTCATTGGAAATTATTTAATGGTATATATCATGACTCAATTAAGCTTGCTATGGCTTGTCAAAAGGAATTTTTCCAATGCATATTGTTATGGAAGAGATTATTACATATAAATAACTGCTACCTAGCAGAATCAACAGAGACTAAAATTGTTCTATTGAGAAAGACCTCAGTGTACAACTTTGCCCTAGATTTTAAAAACAAGTGGGAATAAAATTGCAGATAATAATAAGAATGGAGAAAGTTCAGAGGTCTTAGCAATGGTAAAAGAAAAACAGAAGAAATTAATTTATATGAGCTTAAGATCATTAAATTATCAAGAGAGTCTTATTCATCCAAACAAGGCATTAACAATCTTTCCAAAATGGTATACCTTTTCCTGTCTGGTATTAACAATAATCACTGTGGGAAGGGCAAAGAGGAATGAAAGGACTGATTTGGGCTGATCCAGGAGTTGATGTTCCTAGGCAAGATTTTCTGTGGGCTTGTAACTTCTAATTCTCAAGAAGAGGAAAGTGGGGCTGGATGTGGTGGAGACAACTAGCTCTATTGTCCCTGAAAATGGCTCTGTTTGCTATCTTCAGCAATGAGTAACTAGTATAACTAGCTATATCACATTTTATGTGACAGACATTCCTTTTGGATTGATCATACAAAAGTTAAGTCCAAGATATAACAAATGTGTTTAATAACAGATGCACAAATCTAACTACCCATGTTCTTTAATAAAAGATTGCTTTGTCAACAGGACAATGGCACATAACTACAGGCCATCCATTCTGCTCTGAAGGTTGAGGTTGGGAGGATCACTTGAGCCCAGGAGGTTGAGACCAGCCTGGGCAACACAGTAAGACCTGATCTCAAGATAGGTGATAGATAGATAGATAGATAGATCGATGGATCCATGATCTCAAGATAGATGATAGATAGATAGACTCATACACAACATACAAACACATACCCACATTTATATGTCATCTTTTTTCTTAGTCATATTTTGCTTAGTCATCTTTTTCATAAATCCTAGGAACAGCTAATATGTGTTATGTCCTCCATATGAAGCCTGTGATGTGTTATTTTGAGCCACCTGGTTAACCTGGCTTGTACAGTTAACTCAGTAGGTTCCTTTTCCATCCCGTGGTATTGAGTTGGCAAAATCAATTTTATGTAATTTTAATAAAGGAGATTATTGAAATAGGAGAAGTTCAAGTGAGATCTAGGAGCTTGTTATTTGGTCAGTCAAGTTGACCAAATTTTCAGGAGCAAGTGACACTAAGGACAGTAAGGCATGGAGGGTTGTAATGCACTACTATAACAGTGGTCCTCTTTACCTTTTGACTATAGCTCTGAGGTTTATTTTTAAAAAGGGACGTGATTTCCTTTTCCTTTTCCTCTTCTCCCTCTCCCCCTCCCTAACCTGGGGGCGGGGAACAAGGTTTCCTGGAGTTATCTATTCTCCACAGGAAGGAGATGTCTGTCAGGGGATCTAGGAAGTGAATATCTCCCAAATTAACAAGTGAATCCTAACACACCATCTGGGCACACTGGGACCCCCTGTCAGGGCACACCTGGAATGTTGTCTTTGAATAGCTCCTTCAAAATCCCCCTATTTCTCCTGATGGGCAGAATCACAGCCTCTGGGACAGGAGTCCCTCTGTTTCTTCTTTGCTAGCAAAGCAATAATTTTTTTTTTCCTTTTTTTAAAACAATGTCCTCATTATTAAGTTGGTATTAATTGGCATTGGGGACAAGGACCAAGCTTTTGGTTACAGTGAGCACATTACAACTCCCAGTGAAGTTTAGGTGTTAGACTATCTGTTCATATTCCTGCATTCACTGCTGTCTACCTCATCTTCTCCACAGAAGTTCTGCTCCCCTGCGGGCAGAATTTAACATCTCTGTGGAAAGCCAAGCCAATATCCTACCTTCCTAGTTCTTTGATTGTATCTCCTTCAGGAGCTTTTTTCTCTGTTAAATCACACTCCTGGGCATTCCTGAGAACTTGCCATATCTTGAACCATACTCTGCATGGACCTTTGTGTAAGATCACATGGACTATTAAATTTTCTTTTCCACTCATCTTCCTACCTGTTGCTTCACATCTCACAATCTGTGCTTTCTATTATTGCTGCCCAGGTGCTCTTCCTACAACAAAATCCTATTTTATCTTTAGCTTGCTGCTGTAGCTTTGATCTGTTCCCCGAAGGCCTATGTGCTAAAGACTTGGTCACCAACCAGTGTTGTTATTGGAAGGTGGTAGAGTATTTAAAAGGCAGGACATGGTGAGGGGTTTTAGGTCATAGGGTAGGGGGCATCCCATTGGAGGGGACATTGAGACTCCTGTCTTTTCCTCTCTTACTTCCCCACCATAGGTAAATGGTTTTGATATGCACTGTGCATTCCCACCTTGATATCCTGCCTGCCCGCTACTAGAGGCTTTTAAAAACAGTGGGTCTACCCAATCATGGACTGAAACCCCTCAAAACTGGACCAAAATAAATCTTTATAAGTTGATTATCTTAGGTATTTTTTTATAATACAAGGTGAGTAACAAACCTGCTTTAAAATTCTTCAGTGACTCTCCATTATACTTCCAGGATGAAACCCAAGCCCCCTTAGCATTTCCACTGAGGCCTCTTATTTTTGAAATGTAGATCTCTCTCTCTCTCTCTCTCTCTCTCTCTCTCTCTCTCTCTCTCTCACACACACACACACACACACACACACACACACGTGCCCATGTGTAAGTTACAATTTTTGTTTTTTAACTTTATCAATATTTGAATAATCCACTGAGGAAACCTAATTATCACAATGGTTAATGAAAGGACACTTGCAAAGTCCTCATAAAGTCCAAGGTCCATACCACACATTGGAATCTCACCCAAGAGATTTATTGTCAGTAGTATGAAACAAAACAACATGGCTG